CCCTTGACAGAAGTAAATCGAAGAATAAGATTTACGTTTGCATCAATCAACAGGTTTGTGAGGGAACGTGCGGACGAGCTGGTGGCAGCATGGTGGCAGAAACATGTGCATCGACACTACGTGGACTTAAACCTGAAGATGACACGCAAGCGACCTCCAGAACTTGCTCTGCCGAGATGGGCGTACCACAGGTTGATTGTGGCTAGGTTAAGACACGGTGACTTCGTCAAATATCACGATAGATTCAAGCATGAAGATGTTGTCAGCAAGTGTGAATGCGGACGAGAAAAACGCCCGCGGCACTTTGCAGATTGCCGACCAGCTTTCATGGATAAACGTGGCGGAAACTAGGATGGTGTCTCATGGGGAGTTCCATTCTAAAACACAACTCGGGGTTAGATCAAGTTCTCAAACAATGAAGACAGGCTCAGGAACATAGGGTCGTTTCAAAGGGATTGCGGATGAATACTGTTCGAGACAGAGCTTAGGGCTGTCCTATTATCTGATGTACATATATACCCAGCGTGAAGGAGTATTCTTCTTCACGCAACGTCTTCTGTTTATACTCATACCTATTGTTCACGTACTTATCTCTTCTCTAAAGAAGACCGCCGTTATTATACCCTTCTCACCTACTACTTATTTTACCTTTACCCCTTGTGTGAACCCTATACCTAACGCTGACTTTATACCTCCTACTCTTAGGAATCACCACCATACTCCACACCTGTAACCTACTTGTACCAAACTCGTACCCTACGGAATACTGATAACACGGCTCCTTGAGACCAGCTTTAGAGCGTTGGAAAAGTATTGAACGGAACCCCCCCCCCCGATAGCAAGCGAGATGCTGGCAGAAAATGGATGGGAGAAATACTTTGAATTCGTGACTATAACGAAATGTTATGGTGCACAAAATATATACCGGGAAGCCTAGGCACTCCCAGGGATCTTAGATATTTTTCCTTTGGTTAGCTGCTGGAAAATTAGGACAAGGCGCAGGGCGGATTTGTTCGGACGCCATTATTTTTCATTTTTATGATCTATCTATTTTATTACAGATTCTCTGGCAAGAAAAGCCCTTTTTTATTTTTTTTAAATCATCTAGTGTGTATGCAGCTATAAAGCTATGACACATGACCGGTGCTATGTATACATGTGGGATGACTCTTTTGACGTTAGAGACACTCATACTCTGGATTTCATTTCGAATACCACTTTGAGGTATGCTTGCTTACACAAACAGTCGACCCTCCTCCGTAAATACCCACCAAAAGGAAGTTTCAAAATCTTTGGTTATCCAAGCATGCCTTCGTCATCCATGTATACCAGCACCGAGAGAAATGTGATTGTGTTTTACCGGATTCGAACCAGCGATCTACTGTCTAGAGTGGGATATGTGTCCGAGCTATCCAGACTCTACTTGGCAGACCGGCCAAGACGATGTACCACCGCACCATCCAGCCATGGCGGTGTTTATAGTGTCGCCTGCACTCTCGTAACCGAAGCCTTGGCACGCATAAAGCTCAACTTGTAAAAACTCCTTGCCAAAAATCAAGATTCCACGCCCGTCGAGACTGTATCCATCCTCTGCATCATCTTATCAACTTGTCCTGAATCCTCTCACGTCCATCCCATAGAACTGTCTCCCAGATTTGTGCGCCACGCTTTGCTTCCTCCGTCGGGTATAAATATCGGCGTGGGCGTGTATTTGGTGGTCTACTGAGGCCAGAGAAAGTCGACGAGAGGTGTGATCATTGGAATGAAGATGTACTAGGTCGTACTTGTAGACTTGATGAGGCTTAGGTAGGAATCGGACTCTCTGGGAGTGAAGATTTGACGTGGTGGAGTAGTTTGAATCATTGCCTCGTGGGCCAACTTGTTCGGTATTGCAAAATTTGACCGAACTTGGCTGTGGGAGAATATTTCACTCCCAGGTTCGTAGAGGACACCGCGTACAGGTGTTCAGGTGTTCAGTCTTGCCCTTCGTAAAGCCCCTCGTGTAGCTAGTAGTGAGTCTGCATGGATCACATACTGTTACGGGCTATGCCCCGTTCGATTAGGCTGGGCTATCTTTCACGCCCAGCCTCGTTCAAGGACTTTAATCAAGTGATCCAACGTGAGGTCGTTTCTCATGACTCGAATCACTCAGTTAATTCTGCAGGGGCTGGGGAATAGATCACTCAGTAGCGAGGGATTACGTGTCAGGAATCTAGATCACTGGTAGTTGCAGAGGGCATATTTACTGTAACAGATTTCCTAAAATTAGTTTCTATAGAAAAATATTAAATCTTTGTGGTACTGTTCATGTGCGGTGTCCGTAATCCTCTTCGCTCTTAACACATACCCGTATCACGCCTCGTGGGTGTAGGACACAAACCTAATGCGAATAGAATACAAACAAACAAACAATTACCGCCCAGACTCCAGCATCCTTGCTTTATGCACATCCAAATAAAATTTGTGACCTATTATGGAAATAATGACCCCTAAGTCATTGAGCTTGTGGAGCGCATTAATTCAAGTAACTACCGAAGTGATACTAAGTGCAGAATTTGCAGTCACGTCTGTATCAACAACGTGGCCTACTTGATAGCCCCAATTATTCTAACTTCTAACATGTCCTATATTTCGACAAAGTCATCGAATCAGGACTTGTGAGTGATCGCACTGTTAGAGCAGAGCTATATGAAGTCACAGGAGGGGATATATTGCTGGCAGAGAGGACCTGCGTGTCCTAAATAGTCATAGAATCAGATAGGATAGTAAGATGAATTAATAATAATATTTGAGTATAGCCAACTCTAGTTATACGGTCATGCAATATGTGAGGGCTGGGAAATATGCAGGCATCGAAAGTGATTCGTGCATACATGTACACAGGAAGGGCGGTCTGTTGTGGTTGAGCCTAGGTAAAGAACTTTCGTGATCTAATCATAATAAGAGATTGAGCCAATAAAGTTTACAATAATCACAACAATAATACCAAGCATTTACTGCGTAGCACGACCTGGACGGTGTACAACTGCACCATCCAACCCTCAACTAAGTGTTCTTCAACCGGTGAATCGTACCACACTGCTACGATAATACTACACATTTTTTTCAAGTCTAGAACAGGAGAAAAGATATCGCCGAATGTACAAGAATTTGTGGAAGGCAAAGGGACGAGGGAAGGCAGAAAGAAGCTGGACAAATAGCGGATTTTCAGGAGTGAAAGAATTCACAGACAAGCCAGAACAGGAAGCAGTGGTCTGGCCGACCAACATCAGCCCATCAAGAACAATAGAAAGTGGCAAAAATATTTTCTGATGAACAAAAAGGTGGTATAAAAATGAACTTCATAGATACGCCCTTAAATATTCACCGTAACCTAACCAGCGCCCAAATCTGTGTCGCCATTAAGCTATGAATCGAGAATATCAGTCTAAATTTTCACCTGCATAGAAGAAAAGTACCCAGAGAAGAAAACCCAAGCTTTCAATGTGGAAATCCATCATAAAACGTCAAGTACATGGATTTGGTGTATCCGCAGTGGGCAGGTGGAAGAGGCGACCTTCTCCGACAAGCTAAAGACAGGTGATTTGAAGCAAAGATTGACAGCCCAGAAGATGTGGCTATAATCACACAGTGGATATCACAAAACATGGATATAAAAGCTTCGGCTTGTAGGGGAAGCCGAGGTAGCAATGTCGGATAAATTAAATCGATCTGGAAGAAGAGAGGAGGGAATCCACACTGGCTGAACAGTGAAGCTGTACTTCCTAAAAGGAAAATACACAGATTGTGTTACGGTTTGTCCGTGGTTTGGCTTAGGTGGAGACCTAAGCGGGGTTTGGGGGCGTATTAGGGAGAGTGCTACATATTATCTTGTATCAAGCGACTAAGTTTCACTTGGCCATATTACATTGGAGCCAGGAAGGAATGTGAGACGGCGAAGTAGAATTGCCAAGTGAGAGAGTCAGCTAGATGGCAGAGATGACGACGGGCAGTGGCGGAGCAATGTGTCATTCTCACCAACAGAGTACGTTCTGGATGAGCTAGAAGGATGTACAAAAAGTCATTGCCCGTAGTTGTGGTACTTCTCTCTTCATATAGTTTAATCTTTCTAAAAGTACAGTATAAACAGCTTTGTTTCGTCACAGATTGGTAGTAATATAAACAGACACGATCAGGGAGTTGTCACCGAACTGGTTTCCTCTGTAAAACATGAAGATATTCACCTGCATGGGCCCATAGGATACCTGATCGGGTCAAACAGAATCAAAGACCAAATCAAAAATATACATTTTTGCCATTTTCCAATTGACTAATCAATGCCTATCCTAGACTATCTAGAATCCTATCTCGCAATAGTCTATTGTTTCTGACCGTACTTTCCAAACTGCTGCTAATTTTTCCTGGCTCAAAATTCAAGGACCAGGTGCGGGACTGGTGCATGATTTATCCACGATGAACACCCAGATCAGTGATGCTCACGGCTGACTAGCATGCAGTATAGTTTCTCCGAAAAATAACCTGGCCAGAATGAGCATGTAATAAATTTTGAATGAAAAATTTGGCTGAATCGCCGTAATGCCTTGATAATACGAAAAAGGCCATGAGAAATTATTTGTCATTGTTCACAGCCGGTAGCATGCTACAAGGTACCCTCATATAAACCGGAATTCATTATGAATATCTCATTATATTATTGAACCGCTATTAGGATTCAGATCAGAGCTCCCGCGCCTTTTCTATGAGGATGTGGTCCTATCGTATTGAGTAGATCTTTGGTTTTTACCCGGCGTAGAACTTTCTCATTATGTTGACGGGACATGAAGGCCATCATTGAGTAATGGACCTCTATATCCAAATGAGACAAATTAATGAAAACACATAAAGTACTTTCATCCTCAGCAAAGAAAATTAGTAAGGCACGATGAGCCTTCAGTGATCATCAGGGTTTTTATTTGTTCTTCGAGAAATTGATCTCATTAATCTTTCTTGATACTATTAATCTAGTCTGTTATACGAATTTGAGCGATACTACCCTCTGCTGGTATCGGGTCAAGTCTATTCACGCTTACTTGAAGATGATTAAGTTTGTAATCGCGGCAGATTTTAGGCTTACGGAAAGCTTTGGACTGGAACAAAAGACAATCAGATCCACTCAGTTCGGTATTTTCCAGTGTGGCGAATTCATTCATAAATTTTCTTACTTGCACGTTATTAGATTTAATTAACTCAGTTATATGCCATCCTGAATATGGCTCGTTACCATTACAAGTAAGCCTCATCCAGTTGCTAGAGGAATGATGTCGCGTAAATCTTTGTAGTTGGCCTTGATTCCAAACCAAGACATCTTGGGATTTTTTTACATTCAGTTGCATAACAAAATGACCGTCAAATATTGCGTCTGCAATTTCTACTGGCTCATCAAATTTTATGGTTGGTCGATTTTTATCTCTATACGTCGTAACGAGTCCGTGTCCATCAGCACACAAAACTCTCCGTTGATAGGCTAAACTGATCAACAGTCTTTTTGTGCATCGACGCGACTTGATGAGATACGAAACAGGCAATGGACTTAGTTCTGCAACTTGAGACCCTTCAAATCTACCCGTTGCATCTCCTGTGTTTGATTCGAAAAAGAGATTATTCACATGATTGAAGCATTCATTTTCCGACTTCTCGTCGTTGCCAAATCTCCCGTCGATGCCGCTCGGCAAGCTTGTCAAGCCTCCACTAACAAATCCCCGTAAATTATCGATTGTCGCTTTGATAGAGCAATAAACTGTTATATAAGTGCCCGGCTCTTGAACATTGACCAAAGTTCTGTAGATACCAGAGCCTCGGCCAGGCACCGGAAATGGTTGCTCATGATTAGCTTCATAGATGAAATAATTAGGCCCGTTAGGGTCATTGGATGTGATGACCAAACGATCCTTTTGCGCTAATCTCTGGCCCGTGTATAAAAGAATTGCGAGAAGGCAGACCATTGGCGCAAATCTGAGAATATTCTATCGAACTCTGTTGTATGATCCACTGTGGTTCCGATGTGTCGGTAGTCTTTGACAAGTCTGGACCCTATCGTGTGTATTTGCCTCAGGACATGGAAATTCAAGGGAGAGAATCTAATCAAGGTAATTTGAGACTTTTGCCAGTCTGGAACGAGAATACAACGAGATTATAAGCTGATGAGAGTGATAAGGTGCCACAAGAATCAAATGACGGCCTCATCTTCAGTCTCGTATTGCAATTTCTTCTTTTCCGCCATATGCGAGTCATGTGTTGTGGAATCTCATCTCATGCTTTAGACAAGAGAGATCGGGTGGGCCAGTTAGGAGATTTTTTTACGCGTTAGTATGAAAAAACAAAATTCTGACTGTGAAGTTCACGGGTGTCTCGTGGCCCTGGCTACGGCAATCGTTGCATGTGGATAGCGTGAGACTAAGTGTAAACTTGTCTTCCTATTAGTAATATAGCTATTCTTTAACTTGCGTCAAATCTCTCATACTTCGGATAATATAACGATCCACATCGCAAAGTATGGTGAACGATCAGAATATAGTAGGGAATAAGTGGAGTGCTTAGTTGCGGGTATTGCGGACAAAGACTAACAGAGAAGCAACCTTGATGTGTTCTTAAAGCTCGGCGGCTCGCTTGGAATAGGAGTTCGGGATCATTAGTGACGGGAGGAATGATTGAAAGATTCATACGGAAATCTTGATTGCAAGGTATCGAAATGATCTACCACTTTCATCTATTGGGGGCGGAGATATGATCCGGATAACATTAAGTTTATAGAAGCATGAATTTCATATTAACCCAATTTTAAAGAAATTATTGCGTGCAGTCTGCGAATGAATCAAGAATATAGGGCAATGATAGTTTTGATAAGAAGCGTCCCATACAAGCAAGGAAGTGCAATAAATTGCTTGAAATAGGACATATCAAATCTACCAATACTGAGCTATTTGATGAATAAGACAATGATCAAAGACTTTACAAGATATTGGTCACTCACTTCTTACAAGATAGATCCCCACCAAAGCCTCGTCAAGTCTTCAAATACGGTGCAGTGCGTCCTCAAAATTATGATTACACATTGATTCCAGAACACGAGAACTCAGAACATATCAATGCTGCCCCCTACAAGCCTCCAGCTGTCACTGTAGAGCCTGCAGATTCCGAGATTGAGCAGAATCCTCGTCTCCCCTTCGATTCCACTTCGGAGATGGCGTTACAGGTGGTCTGAAATAACTGAGAAAGTATTTCCGACGCTTCGAAGCTCATAATCAAGATGGCGCATTATTGTTACTATAGCGAGTGGTTATTTGTCGTGAATATGATAATTTGCTTTTGCTGGCGTCAATTCACGCGAAAAGAAACATACCGGTCGCAAACAATGTTTTTGTCAATTTGGGAAAGATGTCGTGCTGGAGATGTCAAGGATTACTACACGTAAGGGTAATGATCACAGAGAGTGAAGAACTTTCCAGATGATTCCATGATCAGTAGAGGAATAATGAAGCACCGTATGGAGATTGTTTCTAGATTATAATACAAGATGGAGGATACAAGATTCTGTAATTTTGTAATTTAAAAAAAAAAACATCATTTTTGTCAGAAAGCTGCGCAGCGTTCCACGCTACCCGTATCACCCATTTGACATTGTGATTATTATTTTTACCTCTTTATTACCCTCCTGCCATCTTTTCGCTTTCCGTGCTCAAACATGGCGAGTGTGGGTGCTGGTGTGGGTAAATCCAGTGGTTTCGACGCGTCGCAAAATGCTACAATGGCATCATCAAACAACGGCAGCGGAGCGCAGACAGCTCCAAAGGACAAGAACCTTGAAATCCTAGGGAAATTACTAAAATAGGTTAGATTAATCGTGATGGGAGAGATGGAGGAGGAACTACCCTCAATGGAGGACGTGAACGAGGCCGTGAAGGCCTTCAACGCGCATAAAATGGCCTGGACGAAAATGACCCAGAAGAAGTCTCCTATCGAGGAGAGGATGATGGATTTAGAGCAAGTCGTGAAGAAAAGCCTCGCGGATCCCGCTCGAAAAGCTGCCCCAGCAGTGGTTTCGGACGCGCTGACACCAAGGAGTTACGTGTCGGTCGTAACTCCGCAAATGGCAAAAACGGCGGTCAGAATAAGAATCGACGGCGCACAAAACTTGCAGCCACAAGAGCTGCCAACTAAGACACAACAACACATCCAAGGCGCATACGCGATTCGCCATATGGGAAACAACGTCACTGAGGTGTTCGTCCAGTCGGCGTCTCAGAGAGACGTGGCGCTAAACATGCGACAACCAACGGATTTCAAAATTCTACGGCAAGATTTTCCAGTCGAGGTTGACGGTGTCCCATTGCGGACACAAATTGAAGGGGGCAGAGATGCTAATAATTTTGCCATCATCAGGGAGATAGAGACGGCTACGAAGGCACGGATTCCAGGCTTAGTGATAAGTCGTATAAGGTGGTTACACGACGGAAAGGAACACCAGCGGTCAAAGAAAAACAGCCGCACTCGTGGATCAATTGTGGTAAGCCTCCCATCGGAGGCAATGCAGACGGAAGTGGTCCGAACGGCCTATTTATGAACGCCATGTTCTACACCGCGCAGGTGTGGTCACCACGGTCACAGCCAAAGCAGTGTTACAACTGCAGCCAGTGGGTACACACGCAGGCGTCGTGTGGAAAGGCAGCCAGGTGCGGTAAGTGCGCTGGCGCTCACCAAACTCGGGACTGTCCGAGGAAAAGGGTTTCTGTGTCAACTGCGGCAAGGAACATCGTTCATGGCAGAAAGCAGCGTGTCGGACCTACCAGGTCTATAAGGGTAGTGTGGAGAAGGCTCGGATGGAGCTGTTATCGAGAACGGCAGATATTTGGAATGAAAAACCAACAATGGCGCCAACACAAACAGTCAGACCAACTGATGATCAGGGATTTACTTTGGTCACTAGTAAAAAGGCTGATGGACTCAAAAGAGGGCCAGGACGACCGCGTAAGGTAGTCGAAGTCCCAGCGGCACCAATAATTGCCTCGACAGCAGCAGCTCCATCGGGGCCAACTCTTCGAACACTTCGAAGACCAACGTCGAGTGAGGAGGTGCCTTCTCTTTTCAATTTTTCATAACGTTAGTTTGATCGAAGGGGGAGTTAATGAATTCTGGGGAAAGTTTATAAATTTGTGGTTGAAAGGAGCGTCCTCAGCATTGAGTTGGGTCGGTTCAGAGTGGCAGGACATGGGGTTTTATTTGTTGAAAGCTATTTCCCACACCAAAGCGGATTACCGTCTTCATGGTTCTGTATATAGATACCGCATAGGACGTTAGACTAGAACAATGAATGAATGAAGATGGAGGATACAAGAATATTCCGTGATACTGTTTTGGGAAAATAAGGCGAGAATCTAGCTAATTCAGATGTGTACACAAGTAGCGCTTTCTACCTTCTAGATCCTCATAGTTCTGGATACAAAATAATCATAAGCTCAAATTGACTCACCTATAATCATCCATAATTTTACAGGCTAGGGCCTTATTTAGTTATAACCGGAGTTCATCCGGTTTATTTATCGAGAAGTCTTGCCGACAAAGACGAATTCTTCGCCTTCCAGTGGTGCCGGTGCAATCGCTCAGTATGCTTTGCATATCTAGGATAGCCAAGAAGAATCGCATCCAAATCGAAGTCAGAAGCAACCTCAAGCTATTGTGGTTATGAGCTATGCGGAAGTCACATTGCGGAGTAATGAGGAGTAGATGATGTTATAATTTGTGGTTGACAGTGAGTAGACTAATACAATATTATGCTGTAGGTATATGGAATGAAAGTGTAAGACTAAACCTATATCCGTTAATTGTGGGTACATCTATGAAACAATATACATGCTCGCCTAACCAGTACACTAGTGATGTATGCTGTAGCCTTGAGCCACACACAATGCCCTAGCCTCGACAACCTCTTTGTCTCATATCATAACACAAGCACATCTCCATTTGTCGACTTCTCGACGATGCCTCTCTTACCATACTCACCTAAGTCCTCAACCTCTCTCCAACCACGCATCATCTCGCCTCGATGACCAGTAAAGAAGTTGCTCCGATTGCATACAGCAGCTTGCACCATAAATTTTCAGCCATCACTCACTACAAATTTACGACGCTACGTATACCTGCAAGGAGGAAATTAAGTCAAAATATACAAAGTTTGGGTCTTGGTTCATGGGGTGCTGACGATCTAGTAGGATTATACATCTTGAGTAGGGACAGACGACTGGGATGTAAAAAGTGAGGGGGAACAGGCCTCCGAAGGCCTTGCCGGGACTGACATTTTCGAGGGATTTTCAAATATGGAACGTTCGTGGGCGCCAAGACTTCGCTTGCGAGAGTGCAGCTGACACTATAAAAACAAGCCAACGATGGAAGGTGTTGTGGTCCGCATTCTGGTGGTGTTCTCTGGTATAGTTTGAGTAGCCTGGGCACTTACACTCCACTTCGGAAGGAGACGCCTAAGACCACATTTCGCGCGGAGAAATGTTAACGGATATGGAGGCATGTCTGGATAACTCAGGGTTATTGAGACGTTCCTCCGGGTGAGTATTCACGGACGAGGGTTGACTTGGGATGAAGAAAAAGCCTCCATAACTTTACAGTGATACTTGCAAATGAAATCCGGGGTATGAGCCCTCTCCTGGTAAATTGATTCATCTATTATATACTTCTCCGATAGTGTCATTGCTAGATGTCTACATACGCAATTAATATCTGATGCAAAAAAATGAGCGTGTCTCACAACAAGCAGATATGCGACTCAGGTAGCATGTGCACCGTAAACCTCAACCCGAAACAGGATGATATGAATTAAGCTTTATATGCTAGGTCCTGTATGACTAGTGTGGATCGAAAATGAGAGATTTATCTGTAGATAGATAAACACGCTGTAGCCCTCTGATAGTTGTGACAAGTCTTCTACTAAATAATACCGGAATCGATCCTAGCTCCTCACTATGCAATCTCATAAATTATTTCAAGTGTTTATGATAGCAAATGTACATATACACAATCGACATCAAAGTTCAAAGTTGATAATAATTCAATAAGCAGGGGCATAAGAAAATAGTTACATCACATAGTTAGGTAGCCGTTTACGATAGAAATTTTCGGAAACCCATTATACAACCTTGACAACTTGTGCTGTAAGTAAATTGGTCACATTTCAATCTATGATTGAGATACATGGAACTTTTTTCAGCGCTAAAAATTTTGACTGCAAGATCTTACAAGCACTGAGTGGGTAGAAATACTGCCAATACGTTAGAACAGATATATGCTTAAATTTGTTATTAGTTCTCAAACAATAATTTGTCTCTTATCCAAAAAGCATTTTGCCATGGTATCACGAATGTGGTTCTCTTGCTTGATAGATCTGCACTTCGGAAACCAGCCCTGATGCTGCCTTTCGTATAGACTGTAATTATTGAATAGCTTTACTTAAGGGTTGCTGTGAGAAAATTCCATCTGTGCCAGGTCTGTGGAACCGGGGTTCAAGCGTAATCTCTGACCAATTGGATGGGTTTTATTTTAGCATCTCAACGATTGAATTCCAGATAAAAATTCATGGGCATACTTCCCTCGTGAAAAAGATTTGTGCAAAGAATATCCAGTTCTAAGGTTTCTATGATTAGAAATGAGCTATAAACTTTAGAAAACTTGCCTGCGAAAGAAATATCGTGAAGCTGTTCTCTCGTAGTTTCGATGCGGGTTGCAAATAAGCTAGGTGAATTTATATCCTTGCTTTTCTTCATAATTAATTTCATATCTTTTGAACTAAAATCCTGTAATATAATAGTATCCACGCACACCCTGGATGCATTTAGTGCATCACGATAGTTGTTGACAGCTACGGCGATTTTGTGAGTAAGCCCACTGGCAGCTTTAGCAATGTCTATCATGTTATTTACGGATTTGCAAGCCCAGATATGATTTTGGTCTAAGAGAATAGTGTTGGAGGGATCGAGCTGTTTACAGCGAACACCCCCAACCAGCAAGCCGTACTCCTCTACAAGTCTAAATCCTGGTGTCATATTGTGTGTGCTAGCAGTAAATGTTTGTTTTGAATAATTATGGCGTTCTAGAGAGGTGTTCACGATGCTCGTTTGCGTCGCGATACCTGAACATATACTCAACAGGTTGATGGCAGTCGTCTCCCCATATAGGATCTTATTAACAGGTCCTTTCACTGTCGCAATGGCGGTTTTTTTATCGGCTTTATCTCCTAGTTTTACGCCTTCATTGACGTGCCACTTAACCTCACATCCCAAGTGGTGAAAGACTTCCTCAAAAAATGGTACGCCGGCGAGATAGCCCTTGGATTTTCCATACAATGTAGCTGTCTTTACTTCATGGCCTACCACATGTTCGGCGTAGTCAAATGGCGGGAGGTCTTCAGTGCACCACGCGGCGATCTGGCTTTTCCAATTTATAGGCAGGATCTTGTCGAAGTCCGATGACAAGTAATATCGCGGCTTGCCATATTCATTACTAATGGTAAGACTTCAGATGAGAAATTTTTGATTTTCAATGAGTTACATACTATTTGGGGATTTTCTTAGGACGTTTAGAGTCGGAATCCGACGAATCTGCCGAGTCTGCCGCATCTTCCGAGTCTGCCGAGTCACCTGAGTATTCCGAGTCTGTCGAATGCTTTCTTTTGCTTTCAGTTGTCATGTCGGCTGTATCTAGATTGTGATGGATGTTGTAGTGCAGTGGTTCCTGTCTAGAGCTTACATTTACATGTAAAAGCTTGGGGCACTAAGCCAACTCCTGACAGTAGTTAAAGATCTGAACCTTGCAGACTTCGCCCCTCAGCTCACAGCCCTGGGGAACGCAAATTGGACGGCCAGACGTCGTGTTACCTACGAGCTTCCATCTCTCGAAATAATTGGTCGGTTTGTTTAGGAGCTTATTGCGGTATTCGAGTCTAAGACCAGCTAGCACCTTGAGCCCCTCTCTGGCCCAGGCAAAACCATGTGCAGTGCTTCTATCCTCCTCTGCTAAGGAAAAAAGATGTCTGATACAGTGTTCGTGACAGGTAGCCAATTAACACAGTATATACCTGCAGAACTAGTAGTTCACCCCCTACTATGCCTCTCATACAGCTCCCTTCAAACAGTACCAACCCTCACAAGTCCTCATTCGATCATACACTTAGAGGAGCCCTTTGCCCTTCATTATCTCCCCTCTCCAGCCAACGAAACGATGTCCACTTGCGGCTGTATGGCAGCCGGGAAAAATCGCAAAAACCACCGGGCGCGAGGCTCTTCCAATTCCGACATTAGGACTAAGTCCGAAGACATAGTGACCCTTTCTGAAGCGTTCGAAGAGGCCGGCCAGCTGGGCGCTGCAGACTTGTGGGTACCTCGGGAAATTCACACTCTGCCTTTCTAGCCTCCTTCCAACTCCTTCTCGAAGGTCGTGCTGAAACGTTAGAAAAGTCTTGACGGAGGGTGATTGCTATATGATCGCTTAGCCCTACCTCGTTATACCATTTTTGCGATACATTTGGTACAGGGTGTATACACTCTTGGTATATTCTTCGATTTCCGGTTGTACCTTTTAAAACTGTAGGTCATTCGGTTCGTGGAATGGTGTTTGGACCGCTAATTTATTGATTCACGTGACAACGACGAATGCGTACATCTATTCAGTTGGCGGCTTACAAACCTCTGTGGAAATCACCCACCGATCGTGATGTGCTCAGCCCCATTTATCTATCCACTCTAAAGCCATCATCCTCTCCTTAATTTGACACGTCTTCTAGGAAACTTTTGCCTAGCCAGTTTTGTGACTGTTGTAATCTTTGAAGATTCGTCCATTTCCTAAATGATGGATAAATTCTCATCCCCAGTTTCACTCAAAAAGTTGGTCTTACCTGTGGGTACAACGGGGTTCACTTGGTTTAATACCTCCAAAGTGCTAAAACAAGCGGTATACTTCTGTCTACTTCCTCCTCTCTCTCAAGTGGTCCAAATTCTAAACTACTAAGGGGCTCAGCTAGCGCCCTAGGCCAACGTGTGATAGTACTACGCCTTAGTATAATACACATATCGGTGAAAGGAAGTTAAATACCGACAAAACCTCTTTCGTAAGAGACCTTCGGATTCAAAAATTTTATCTATTTAAGTCGCCGGGTCAATTGATATTACTATACAACAGAGCAATCCCAGAATAAAATCAGTTAATTAATGAACTCTAAATAAAGAAGATTTCCTACTTCTCGCTGTAAACACAAGGGATTGTAGTTATCAGCCCTGATCATGACTATCTATGTTGCTAAGTATTACCCCCATTGTGAACAAGTAATGGGTATCCCACCATCAAATGAAGGAAACCCCCAGTTAGAATGAAAAAGAAAAGTTGTTTTTACATAGTCTGTCCTACATAGTTGTAAACTCAAATAGGACAAAAATCAATGAATCAATAAATAAATATATTGCTAAGCAACTACATCCAGACCGCAACATTGGTAGCCCCGTGGCTAGCTAGGCCTTATATTCCATCCCTGCCATACTGGTGCAGACACTACCAACCCAAGGGATTTATGAATTTCATTTCATATAACCCGATTTGGCGCCTTATGGACCCATGCAGGCGGCTATGAACCAATCTATATACTTACATGAGGGGGAAATCATTACCATAAAAGCCCTCTCCCCTATCAAATTTCTAAATTTTCAGCAGTCCTTTATTACCTATAGTAAATGCCATGTGCCATTGGTTAGAGACGGGACTAGCTAAAGTAGTAGGTGACATCGCTATCCTTTCCATACCCTCGCGTACTGAAAAGAGATGACTGTGGTCTGAAGCTCCTTCCTGATGGCGCTGTTAATTGAGGTGGTGGGCCTGTGTCCATAGAATGTTTTGGAGAGTGCCCCGTCCTTCTCTTGCCAGCCTCCGCCTTCTGGTTGGACGCCAGTGTAAACCCTTGGTCGTCCGTTGGTTTTGCCGCTTTTATTGCTGAAGTTGCTTCTGATAAGTTATCCTTTCTTCTTAGGTCTGCCGTTCTCTCCGAAGGCCCATACCGTGCCCTCTGGAAAATTGCCTTGAATGACGCGAAACTTGGGCTTTGCCGCAGATGCAGCAAAGCACCGACTTCTTTGGACAGTCTCTGGTCTGATGAGTGCCCGCACACTCACCACATCTTTTCGCTTCATGGCACGAGGTTCGAGTATGCCCCCATTGGTTGTAGTTGAAGTACTGCTTGACGTGTGCCCGGAGTGACCAGAGCAGGGCCATGTACAACATTGAGTTGAGTATAATGCCATTGCAAATCACCTCGCGTTGAAGAGCCTCTGTCGGCAGGCTAGTGATCACTGACCCTTATGTATGGCCATTTTTCCTCATCCATTAGTGCTCCTTTCTGTCTTAAAGTCACCTTAGTCTGTTGAACTGGATTCCGGGAATCCTAACTTTTGTCTCCGAATTAATTTGGTAAATCATGCTGTCATTGTCGGCGTTTGTTCCCCCTTGTATTATTGTCCCCAAGGGGACTCCCAAAATTTCAACAAGATAACCCTACTTTACGACGCAGAACTCCTTTGGCTGTGCCATATTTAAGACAGAGTCTCGCTGGGAGATCGACTGCACGAAAACCTCAGTGTCGTTACTCCTTAACTGCCTTACGGCTTATGCCCCATCGATATATATTTTTGCTTTATTAAGCAGCTCTGCCGGCTGCATCTTACCCGCCCCTTGGATTCTTATTCTTACTGCTGTTTTAGTCACTGGAGATTCCTTGGGATGGATGTGAGAGGGATCAGGACAAGTTGACAAGATGATGCAGAAGAGGGATACAGTCTTGACGGGCGTGGAATTTTGAACTTTGGTAAGGAGTTTTTACAAATTGAGCTTTGTGCATGCCAAGTCTTCGGTTGCGAGACTACAGGCGACACTATAAACACCGCCATGGCTGGATGGTGCGGTGGTACATCGTCTTGGCCGGTCTGCCAAGTAGAGTCTGGATAGCTCGGACACATATCCCACCCTAGACAGGAGATCGCTGGTTCGAATCCGGTAAAACACAATCACATTTCTCTCGGTGCTGGTATACATGGATGACGAAGGCATGCTTGGGTAACCAAAGGTTTCGAGATTCCCTTTGGTGGGTACTTACGGAGGAGGGTCGACTGTTTGTGTAAGCGAACATACCTCAAAGTGGTATTTGCAAATGAAATCCAGAGTATGAGTGTCTCTAACGTCAAAAGAGTCATCCCACATGCATACATAGCACCGGTCATGTGTCATAGCTAGTTAGCTGAATACACATTAAATGACTCAAAAAAAAAAAGAATAGTCACTGGAGGTGCGACGACTGAGGCGTAAGTGGGTTGACCTCCCATTCTTTGGGTCGACTGAGGAGCTGTCTTGCGCACAGGCTCTTCCTTATTGCATTTTCTAAAGTTAGCACTCTTTCTTCTATTGGTGTCGCTTTTATTGTCGAGCTCAGTGACAACAAGTGCGACTTGAGGACGTCAATGGCCCCATTTACCACCGCCATCAGTGCCGCAGTCTGGTTGGTACCTACTATCACCAATCTGTCGCTAACCTTATTAAGGAAAACTCTATTATCTTCAAATTGTCAAGATCAACGCCTGTAGCGATCGCGAGAGACACTACAGCCGTAATTGCGGCTGTTTAACTACACATTGTTAGTTGGCCTGGTGCCGTGAGAAAAATTTGAAGCCGCAAAGTCCAACCTACTGGCTTCCCAACTCGCCATGCTGAAGCGCAACGAAAAAATCTGGGGAGTTAGGCAATAATGGTTTACTAAGACGATAACAATTATCGAAACGATTAAATAATCCCAAGGGATTAATCCCGTAACAGTTAAAGATATTTACACTCCACGGCCTTCCTACTTACTATTCACGCTGTCTACGACGCCTCAAGATTACTTTATTTACCCACAATAGCTCCCACGCCTGTCATAATGTCGCACAGATAGTAAATATCTTTATAGATAAGAAAACAGGAAGGACTGTAATGAGCCAAAGAGGAACACTTTCCAGTATCCATAAACACCTGAGCAGGGCCCAGAGCAGCATAGCCATTCAGATAAGAAGGGAACATATTGGATTCAAGTCCTATCTGCACAGATAAAAAGTTCCAGGAGTAGATAAGCCATAATGTTAATGTGGATATCTGTTGGAAATTTAGACTCTATGTGTCTGAAGTTTCTCTATGATTGGAACAACTAAGATTCTCACACATGACTCACGACCTAGATTATTGGTATCTCCTTTACTGAGCATGTTTAATGTTTGAGACTCGACTAGTGCATGGTATGGTCTGATACCCGTTTAGGCTTTCATCTACCAACCCTGACCCCATACTCATGTTGTATACTGTCGTGCGATTCATTGTCATTGTTAGAGTATGGAACGAGTGATGTATGGTATCTAATTTGGATTTGGTCTGTCAAGTACACATGTATATAAGCTGTCTAGGAATCACCAAGACAGATAATCCAATTAATTCAATTCATCTTTTATTTCTCCACAGTATATCACATATTCTCCCGATTCATATCATTATTATTCTATTCATAAATCGCACACATATTTTACGAGCCGCTTTACTCATCGAACTCATACCGATTTTCCAACAAAGTCCGTTACATAATTTCAAGCACATGGTCATAGTCTGCACTAGCTGGGCCAAAGGAAGAGGAGAAATACTGAGAAAGACAGAGAACCGGTCATCTGATGCCATGATGAACAATGCAAAAGATTTGGCAAGGACAACTGGATGGATCCAGCAGGAAGGAAGGCTAGAACAGTTTCGACTGACGTTTGAAGTGGAGGCCACAATGGGGGAGAGAAAGGAGAGCAGAGAAAATGTGATCTCCTGCTAGTAGCAATGAAGTTGACGGTACCCGCACTGGACATAATAGTGTTGATGCACTTCTTGATGGTAATACAACATTAGAGTGTATATAAATTGAAAAGTTGAGGGGTTTTTACCATAAAGGTTTCCTCATATATAAATACTAGAGTTTGTCGACACCTGCATGGGCCTATAAGGCTCCAAATCGGGCTAAATGAAATCAAATTCAAAAGTCGCACAGAACGTTAATTGACGTTTTGTGGACAAATGAATGTTAAAATTGAAATAAGCGATGTCAAAGGCTGCGTGGAACCTTGAATAGCATTTCGTGAAATGTGTTTTTTGTAATGGGATTTGAGATATAGTTGTTTTTTGAGATTGGTTAATTTTTATGCAGCTGTACAGCTGCGACAAATGATTAATTCGTTGTTTACATGTTTCATGACTCTTTTCACTGTAGAGAAATCAAAATCTGCATCTTAAGTGCAAATACAAGCATGAGGTATGTTTGTTTACACTAAACAGTCGACCTTTGTCCATAAGTACGCAATAAATGGAAGATATCGAATCCTTTGGGCTTTCGGGTATGCCTGTGTCATCCTGTACATGATCACTAATAGAAATATAGTCAAGTCTTGCCTAAGTGTCGGTCGTAGCTCCACAAGCGACAAAAACGGGAATCCGAATTTGAATCGATGGGGCACAAAACCTGCAGATAAAAGAGCTACTTTCAAAGATAAGGCAGTATATTCAAGCCTCGTAAACTATTCGCCAGATGCGGAGAAATAACTCTGGGTTATTCGTTCACTCGGTGTCCCAGAGAGACGCGACGCTCAAAATATGAGAACCAAGCGACTTCAAGATCTTGCGGAAAGTACATTATAATGATTAAAAGAAACTTCCTCGGCATTAATCTGGGCTGATTCAAAGTGGTAGGATGTTGCATTTTGTTTGTTTAAAGTTTTACCTCTAACCAGAGCGGCTTACCGTCTGCATGGTTCTGTAAGTAGATACCGAACAGGATGTTTAACGAATGAAATTCATTCATGCAAATTTGAGTTTTACTTGATTCGAATCAGCTTTCTTTCGTTTCAGGTGGAAGAGATCTCCAGACTATCCAGACTTTATTTGAAAGACTGCTAGGGATCATTCTCAACTGCAGAATCTGTTCTTAATCTTGTTTGCGGTGTCGCATGCACTCTCGAAAATAAAGTCTTGTTTTTTAGTCATTCAATGTGTTTTCATATTTGTGATTATCATATCATCAGTGCTATGTGTATGCCTCAGCGCACACAATGCTCTTAAGTATAAGAGCTCCATACTGAAAATCGAAAATCCACCCTTTTGATGAATGTGTCTATTCTGAGCATCATCTTTTATATCTACCTTAATATTTCTTGTATCTTTCCTAATGATTAATCTCTCGAATATATGCGCCACAAATTGTGTCCTATTATGGATGTTATCATTGACATGGGCGTGTATTTGAAAGCCGGCAGAGGCCAGAGGCCGATTTTATATGAGAAAAAGAGGTTTATTTACTGTACTTCTTGAGTTATAGACTATACAGCAGATTGAGCTCCCGTTCGAGATGAAGTATGATCATAGAGATCAGGATGCAATTTTTGTTGAGATACAAGGCTAATTCTAGTGATAAGTATTAACATATGTATCCTTTATGATGATTAGACCCATTATCGTAGTATTAAGATAGCTAAGCTCCCCGAGCTATTGATAAGAATTAGATAAACCAGTCTATTCTTTTACACTTTTTCGTCTTCTAGAATAGATAAATTTTTGGTCGGAATAGATCTTATTAGGAATGAAAATTTGATGTGGTTGGGAGTGTTGAATCATTTCCTCTAGGGCCAACTTCCTCAGTAATACGGAGTTCGAATGATATACTCTCAGAGATTACATCACTCTCAGATTTTTAGAGGGCACTACGGACAGCTATTCGGTCTTTTTCTTTCTCTTTCGACCTTGTTTCCATCCATTGAATAATCTCGACTATTTTCCCTAATCTCATACAAGTCCAACCCGAAAATCTGCATCACACGATTCTTTTGCTGTTGTAACGGTCCTCATGCGACGAATTTCATGGTCGTAGTCTCATGTTTGGAGGTCAAAGATATAGTTATCGATGAGTCTGAATATTGAAGTGAGCTAGTACCAGGTCACAATAGTATGCTTAGTGAAACTAGATCCGAAATACAATTTGTTGGAGATGAATGGTTGATATACTTATATGTCCTTTACGTTTTACTGTGTAAGAGCATGCAAAAATGAACAATGGAACAGTAGTATATCTCCCTTTTTAAATCTTCCCTTGCTCACAAATAAGGTCCTTTCAGCTGCCATGGGATTATGCTGATGTCACAAATGCATAACCTTGTCCACAAATAAATTCATCACGAACGCCATTGCTGACGTGCACCTCGGGACCCTCGCAACCTCCACCTTCCGACATTTATCGATCTCTACACCCAAATCCACGGCAAACCGATAATATTAAAAAATTAATAACGAACACCACAGATATAATGGACACGGTAGATGCGCCTGACTGGATGGAAGTGACGAATGAATCAGATGAACCTGCCAGGAATTATGCCGCGATGTTACCTATTAATCTGAAAGATTATGTGCTTAAATGGTTTGCTGAAGACTGTCCAACGTTCGATTATTCCGGATTTGTGATTGGAAACGAAAAAAAAACATCTACACTTTCCATTAAATCCAGTTGCGTGCTTGCTGGCGTGCCATTCTTTGACAAAGTCTTTTCTCTTGCCGACTGTGAGGTAAAATGGATGTTTAAGGAAGGCGATAGTATAAGTGTCGAACCCGACAGCAGGCTTGTTCTCGCAACGGTGAAAGGCCCATTGCGCAAACTTCTACTTGGGAAAAGGATCGCCCTCAACGTGCTTAGCAGATGTACATCGATCGCGACACAAACCAGGAAAATGGTCGATATTTTGAAGAAGGCAAAATACACTGGTCAACTCGCAGGTACACGTGAAACGACACCTGGTTTCAGACTCGTTGAAAATTATGGTATGATGGTCGGAGGTGCACATGGTCATCATTACGATCTTTCAACCATAACTTTCTTGAAAGCTAGGCATCTCGAAGAGCAGAATTCTATAATGAGCGGGTTAAAGGCTGCAAGATCTGCTGGCGGATATTCTCGCAAAATAGCAGTAAAAGTGGCAAATGAGAAGGATGCGCTTTCAGCTATAGAAAGTGGTGCGGATATTATTGTATTGGACGCCGTAAAGATCAAGTATGTAAAGCTTGTGGCTTGGCATGCTAATCAAAACGCGACGTTTGAGAAGCATTTTATTATTGAATGCACTGGTGGCATAACACCAGAAAATGTTACTTCTTATATCAGCAATGGCAAGTCCTGTCACATTTACACTTCCCAGCTAACCATGATGCACTCAGATATATCAGTAATTTCAACCAGTTGGATCCATCAGGGAGTTCCCCACATAGACTTTTCTCTAAAGACCAACGAAGATGATTCCAGAGCAAAATCCAAGTGAAGACGATAGAAACGTGCAAAACCTTTATCTTTGGGCATGAATCGGGTAGTTCAGCTGCCAAAATTACAGTCTTCAAATTTTCATTTTTTCATTTTTTCATTTTGACTGCGAGAGATTTGTCTCCGACCTTGCAACCCACTTGTCTTCATTCTAATGTGATCTTTCTGGCAAAATAATAAAGGTTTGTCATAATGGCTAAACGGATATACCACATGGAATGATGGTGAGGAAAGACAAAACTCCGGGCCCTAACTTTCAAATTCCTTGGTATAGATAATTTTTGGGCTGAAAAATTATGAGACTCACAAAGGAATCTCAAACTACTAAAGTTATTACAAGATTTGAACTGCAGAAGTCGCCCACGACCTTTTCAAATGATATACCATGTAGCCCTAAAATTAAAAAGCCTAACGCGTAGAGCGACACGCCTTTGCAACTATGAGATATTCCGATAGCCTTCGAAGATCAGCAGTTTCCGGATACAATCGCTTTATGGTATTGCTATAATGTGAGACGATAAACTGTCTAGGGGTAGCACTTCACCTAACTTTGTAATCTAAGCTAATCAGGCCACATGACCTTCCCAGTAGTACATAGATTTTATCCGTCGCAATAGGGCTCTCTTCCAAGACAAACGCAAATAAAAACTTCAATTCACGAGACAACAAGCACACGTTTTTCCCCAAGCTAAGGTATATCTCGTGACTCAGTTTTCCTACTTTTCATCGTCCCAAGACGTCAAGATGCCCCCCGGGAGGCGTAAAATCCCCACGACACTCGTGTCCCCTGCTCGAGTTGTCTCGCGCGCAGTCAAACGTGCGAGGCCTCGCCCTCCGCTCCCAACTGTTCAGGAGGAATTCATCCTAGCAGCCGCAGCTGAGAAGCAACAATCTCCAGCTGAACCCATCTACATGGACTCCGAAGACGAGTTCATGGACCTCGGATTGGAAAACGAATATCCTTCTAACCATTCCTCTGAAAACCTTTCCCTCTCTCCAACGCCAGCTCCCGTATCGGTAACAGCTACCCAACTGCATCCGCCAAAAAAACCACTGCGAAGAGATTCTACTCAGGGTATCTCAAGCTCCATTTACGCGTCCATCAAAGAGAACGTTGTAATTGAGCAACAGCCTACCCCAACTCTCCCGCGATCTAGCGCGCGTACAACAGCGCGGATTATCGAACACCCCTCGGCAGCTATGACAAATAACATAGCCGCTTCATTTTTGGCCTGGCAAAATGCTGGAGCCCAACATCTACGCGGTCTACCGCTAACAATCGCTGCGGACCTCAAAGTTATCGTGACGCGAAGTGTAGCACGAGTCATTGCAGGCCTCCCTGGCTTCGAGCAGTCTCGAACTACTGCAAACGTAAAAGTTAGCGCACAGCTACCCCCACAACTAGAACCACCCGCAATTTCTACTTACGCAAATGCTGCGAAGAAGGACTTGACCGTATCTGTACTCCCTCCAAAGGCTACCCCCAGGGTTGCCAGTTCAAAGAAAAAACACATGCCGGACTCTAGAGTTATGATACGCCTAGCGCCCGACCACCCACTGAGATTCCTAGATTCTCTTCTGGTCCGTACAAAGCTGAGAAGCTTTCTCGAAAAACCGGAACTAATCAAGGACATCAGGTTGGTCCCTTCTGGGATAGCTCTCGTGGCCCCCTCATCCGATCAGGCCCCCGAACTCATGCAAGCAGCCCTTGCTCTACAGCCCGCTACGGGAGTTGTGCCTATCGAAAGACAGGAAAAACGAGAGAACTTTCTCCTTAGCCCAGTCCCTAAATATGGGTACAATGCTTCCGGATCTCCCGAAGCCCTTTCCGTTGCAGACATCCGGGAAGAACTTGCAGCGGCAAAAATCGACACAAAATCAAATTTTCTATCAGCTGGACACGTAACTCTCTGGCATCCCTAGAATGGGAAGATACTCTCCGACTGGTAGTTGCAAAGCCAGCTGTAGATAAACTTCCCTCCAGCGTCCGCCTATTTGCTCGGTCCGCCAAAATTCGACCGGCTGACAATTGCCCACGCCTCCAAGTCTGTCAGCGCTGCCACGGATTCCACAACATCAATGCCTGCACCAGGAGAGCTCGCTGCGGACTTTGTGCGTCAGACTTACACAACGGCCCATGCATGACACCGATAAATTGTCTTCATTGTGCTGGCCCTCACGTGGCATCTTCCACTGGATGCCCTGCAAGACCCTTCCGAGCTAACGGAGTATTTTTCCGCCCAGACAAGGAGAGAATGCGGGTAATGCGCCAGGAAGGACACAAGTCCTGGCTGGCTCTAAACCCTCCGCCTCCCGCTGGGTCTCCTTCCACACAACCCTCGCGCACCACGATTCCAGCTCCTGTTCTAACAATAGGCTCGGCATCTAGGTTTGCTCCCCTGATTTCCCTTGAGGAGTCATTATGAGGGACCGAAACAGGAACCTAAGAAAGCAGAAAACCCCAGGCCTCTGCTTCCTCCAGATCAACGTTGGCAGACGTGCCTTTTCTCATGACGCCGCCCTAAAACTGGCCTCAAAATATGTTGGAAATGGAGACACGGAGTGTTGTGGACGTACGGGCCCTCCATTTCGTCTAGGTTCCCGACACGATCTTGTGTGTATTTAAGAGGTTGGAATGAGTGATATGGTAGCACTTCAGGCTACCTATTTGAGATATGAGCGGCTGTATGGCGTGGGCACAAGGAGGTTATTGGAGGTTTTTCTATGCCTAGATGGCGCCACACTAGTTTATGCTGTGGCTTAGGCTCTGTGTCGCTTACACTTGTACTTGTAGCGCACATCTCCCACACTTTTAGCTTCAATCCGAACATGACACTCTTTTAGTCAACTTCTACTTTCGTTCCATGAAAATTGCGCCTATTTCATTGCGCAATATTTCCAACCAAACGCGGGGCTAATGTGGTACTAATCCAAGAACCTTGGGTTTCCACTGACCTTTCTCGTAGACTAACAAAGAATCACCCAAGATTCCAGTGTTTCTCTCCCTTTTTCAACTAGAATATTCGGCCATAAGTGATGATTTAAGTCTGCAAAGAGCAAGGGTTATCCCCCTTCTAGCCAGCTTTGCACTCGCGAGACCTATTACAAGTCGTAATTCCGCGCATGAATAAGCGTGCGCTCGCATGCTGGAACGTCTCTGACACCCCAATCGGAGCAATTGACTCCGGGGAAGGTCTAAAGTATTTAATTAATAGCACAGGCTCTCCAGATATCCTTGCAGGGGACTTCAACATCCACCACTCATCTTGGGACCCGAAATCTCGAACCGATAGTGTGGATAGCGACTCCCTGCTATCATAGACAGCCTCCCGGGGACTGCGACTTCTCAACCATGATGATACTCCCACTCATGACGCCGGGGCAGCTATCGATCTCTACTTTGTCTGAAATGATGTTAACGCATTTTGCGAAATTCGACAAGATCTGGAAGCCGGCTCAGACCACAGAACACTTCTCTACCAAGTAAACAATTGGGAGGTTGAAATTCCTGCACCAGGTAAGCTTCAATTAGCCTCCTGTAACTGGTCTATATTCGAAGGCTTTCTTGAGAACTATCAAGCTATTGCTCCCTCCCAAACAATTGAAGATGAGGCGTCAGGAATTGTGAGTGCCATCTCAGGGGCCCTTCGTGCGGCCTGCCCTAGATCCCGTAAACAGGTAGCGAAAGCTGGCTGGTGGACCAAGGAGTGCACCGAAGCTCATTTAAACTTCTGCCGAGCTCGCCGCACAGGTCTTCCGTCGGTTTCCGAACGTCGAGCCTTCGGTAAAGTTGTTAGAAAATCTAAGCGAGCATACTGGCACAACAAGATAGAACAAGTCTCCAGTCTCAAAGAGGCCTACCAGGTAGTTCGCTGGCATAAGAAAGAGGCTCACTACCACACCCCACCTCTAGAGAGCCTGACTGGCCCAGTATTCCGTCCGGAAGATAAGGTACAGTTATTTAAAGAGACCCTTCTTAGCCGACATCTAAACCAAGTAGATATCGACGATACAGCCCCTGTAGTGGCAAAAAGATCGATTTCCTGGCCTTCGATAACAGACGAAGAGGTCTATAGCTCGTGCTGTGTCGTCTCAATATCTGCTCCTGGACCGGATAATATCACCACAACGGTACTTGGGCGCGCTTGGCCACTCATTGGTGCTCGTATAAAAGCTTTATTCCGCTGGTGTGATCAGCAAGGACTGCACCCGAATGTTTTCAAGAAGGCTAATATTATTATAATTCCAAAGTCTGGAAACCGCAATCGGGCTCTACCAAAGTCATACCGACCAATTGCCCTTCTGTCATGCCTTGATAAGGGACTCGAGAGACTAATGGCTCACCGCCTCTCATTTCTAGCGCTGAAACTACAGATTCTCTCCCGGGATCAATGTAGTACAGTTCCTCGAAGATCTGCCACAGACCTCACCATAGAACTGTCGTGCGATATTCAGAATGCGTGGTCCAAAAAAGAGGTGGCTGGCATGGTCACAGTAGTTGTGAAAGGAGCACTTGATGGTATCCAAAAAGGCCGCCTCTGTCACTGCTTACGAGGTCAAGGCTCGCCCCCTAATGTGATGCAGTGGGTGTCTTCTTTTATGTCTGAGCGTGAAGCCTCAATCATACTTGATGGAACTACATCTCTAACATTTGAAATCCACTGTAGGCTTCTACAAGGGTCGCCTGCCTCTCCAATCCTCTTCCTACTGGCAATTGGAGGCCTCCTAAATCTCTCCCCAAAACGCTCTGGTTACGCAGGTGATGTAGCACTTATAGCGTCTGCACCATCTCCCACTCGATGCTCAGAACTACTCCAGAAGCGATTATACTCAACCCTCGCATGGGAGCGCGATAACGGCATCACTTTTGAAGTGTCAAAAACTGAGCTGCAATACTTCCATCAAAAGCATGGATCCCCAGCAGAGCCCAGCGTATACGCTAATGAAGTAAATGTCACTTCAAACGATCACACGCGCTGGCTTGGGGTCATCTTTGACCGA